TTGTCTTTCTCCTGCAGCTGCTCGAGTGTCTTGCGGAGGAGGATGAGGAAGGGGGTCAGCTGCATTTCCAGTGCCACCTGCTGCACTTTGATCTGAAACAGAGGAACAGAGTGCGGCTGAGCCCCCTGCCCCGACACGCTCGCAGCGGGGACAGTCTGTGCAGGGGAGCAGCTGTGCAGGACAACGATACGTTTCCCAGCTGCTGCGAGGGGCCACCCTCCCCGCGCGAGGGCTGCATGCAGGGGACACAGACTGCTGAAACGTGACCCAGTCTGCACATCGCTGCCGAGTCTGGAGAGCAGAGGTGTAATACCGGCTCCAGCACCTGCGCTTCCCACAGCAGCCTTGCATAGCAGCCACCCTTGCTCAGAACCGCTGGGGCAGGGCACAGCACAACCAAGGGGACCCTGGCACGCACCCTACAGCTCACAGGAAAGGGAGAATCCACCAGCACACCAAAGAGCCCATGCTCATGCCCACCCCAGCAGCTCCCCAAGGAGGGGCAAACAATTGTTACCGTCTCTCTCTTGAGCTTCTCCCGCTTGCGTATCAGCTCCACCAGCAAGCGTGCTCGCTCTAGGTCATGGCGGAGGCGCTGCCATGACTTCAGCTGCTCCTTCAGGGCCCAGTTCTTATCCTCAGTGTCTCTCTGCAGGAACATCAGAGACCATGAGCTGACGGGAGAAGTGTTCCCACCTCCGCCTTCCTGGCTATGTGCTGGGGCTCTTCCCTGACAAAGGGAACCTGCCTGCCTGACCCCCTGTTTCAGCGAAGATCTAGGTTCCTTTGCCGGAAGCCAGGTGGGTGACAGGCTCAGAGGGACCCACAGACGCAGTCCAGCTTCTGACCAGCTGAACACCTGCTTTTCAATCACCAAAGCCAGAAGCTGGGCATCCTGAGGCTCTGGAAATGCTCTTCCTAACATGACCAAGTGCATGCAGCTGCCCAGGACTGCAGACCAACAATACCAGTGTCTGTGCAGCTGCTCAGAGCTCTGGTGAAGAGCACAGGGAATACAGCTCTGGGTGCTTTCACTTCTGGAGCACCAGAAAAAAAGTGACTTTTGTTCCGCTGCTGTAGCCAAAAGATGAGCAGATGCAGTTGCAACGCTTCTCCAGCAAATTCAAATGAGAAGAGGCAAGGCAGGGGAAACCTCTGCCACAGCCCTCAAAGGGCTCAAAAAGAAAAAGACTTAGAGCTCACCAATGGTGAGCCAAAATAAGAATCTTCCTCTCGGGCACCATAGTCTTCACATGTGAGAGGCACTGACTAAAGGTTGAGGCAGACAGCAGGCTGGAAGCAGCACCCACAGGCAGTACTCCTGTAGGTATTCCAGAAACTGCAAGTGAGGCCCTGGTTTCTTGCAGATAGTGTTCCTAGAACTCACTGGCCATCTCTCTTAATACCCTCCCACAGACTGGCCTTGAATTAGAGCCATTTCTGATAGCTTTGCCATAGCTGCCAGCTATATGTGGGAAAGAGGAAGGAGCTAACTTCTATGGTCAGCACAACAGGGCAGGATTCCCTCTCCGTGGCAGGCTGCCAGAGGCGTCACTAACTGGCAAATCCTTGAATGCTGGGAGCAGTGGAGAAGGTGAAGCAGCAAAAGCAGGCAGCTGGGGCTGCCCTCGCCTCATCTGGGAGGCTGAACTTATCTGTGGCCCCTTTCTGAGCCTGCAAGCACCACATGCAGCGAATGCTTTGAGCCCGAGGCTCTGAAGATGCAGGAAGCACACAAAGACACCCAGGATGCCCCTCAGGACCCAAAAAAGCAGCCCTTACCTGATCACAGTTTCTTTGGGACTGTAAGTGTGTCTGAAGCCGGCGCAGCAGAGGGACACCGTTGCGAGACTGTCTTTTCAGAGTCCAGTAGCTGTGTAGCCTCTGCATGAACTGACTCTTCCTCTGGATGGTTAAGCGGTTCGTGATCTTACTGAGCCTGAAGGGACGGGAACCACAAACACAATCAACAAAACAAGCCAGGCCATTGCAGGAAAAGCCCCGATCAGGGGGATGTAGCAGCAAGGCCACCTGCGAGCAGCTGAGAAGCTCCTCAGACTGAGGGCACCCTTTTGTGGCAGCAACTGCTACAGTGCCAAGTAATGCAGGGCAGCAGCACTGCCGAGACAGCTACAAAGAAGGACATCAGAAAACGTTCAGTCTTGACTCTGTGAAACAGATCGTTCCTTTCTATCTCCTGCCAGCTGTTCAGGCAAAAGCCTGGGACATGCTGAGCCAGACTGGGAGCATAACACAGGGGCATCAAGGGTTGGACCTTTTAACACATCCCCACGGTCCCTGAGACTGCATGCACTATGACACTGCTATCTCAAAACCGTTATTTACCCATTTTTATATGTTGGCAACTAAGGACCATCCAAGATGGCAAGGGGCCTGTTTGAACGTTACCAGACAAACTCTGGAGCTCCAAGGAGCTTGTACTTTGAACAAATCGGGCAAGCTGTGACGAGGGGACAGCAGGCACTAGCAGAACAGAGCATGCTATTTGAGGTAATGAAGAACTACCCTAAACAACCCAAAACACAACAAAAGGAGTATTCCTAGTCTCTACAACGGCGGAAAGCCTAGAAGAGACTGTGATAGGCTCTTCCATCAACATTGGTGGAAGAGACGCCCTGCTGCTGGTGGGGAGTCGAATGTACAATCTTCACACAGGATAACGTGGCCTGCATCACACTCAGCCTCAGCTAACGAGGTTGGAGAGAGCAGCCTCATTTGCTCTCTGTGGCCAAGCACAGCTCCCACAGGAAGACATTTGGCATTCTGGCAATAGCCTCTAAAGAATAGTTAATCCCAACAGGAAGGCCTGGGGTGAGGTTAACAGCTTCTATCTCAGTGTGGGTTTCATTTTGAGCACAATAATAGCAGCAAGACGGTAGAAACAGCCTGCACGAGAGCACACAAACAGCCTGCCAATGCATCGAAATATGAGAAAAAGAGAGGCTCCAGTCACAGAGCAACTCTCAAGAACAACACAAGGCCAGCCCATGAACAAACCACGGCATAAAGCCTTCAACTCTGCAGCACAGACCTGCATCCGCAGGTCACCAGGACACAACCCACAGAGCAAACCCCACAGCCTCTGTGTACCCACCTCTCCTCCCACCCCACAGGAGTCCCAATAGTCTCAAGGGTGTGCTAAGGACCTGCAGGCAAGCAGTGGCCCCCGCCCCTGAGCTGTCACAGACGTGGTCAAGAGGGACTGCCGGCTGGCAGGTACAGTGACAGGGTTTCACAAGGTTACACCTTTGGCACGGCTCACCTGCTGCTCCCATCTCACTCCACAGGAAGGAGGAGTGTTCAGTGTAACTCGAGAGCGGTGATTCAGAACCCGCAAAGGCAAACACTTTCTTGCACAACCTGCACTTCCACTGTGCAATGCCTGCCACAGGACGACAACGAGATTTAAAGATGGACTGAAGACACTTTTGCAAGCTACCGAGAACATCCAAAGCTATAAATTACACCAATAAATTTTGGCAAGGGTCTTAAATGTCCTGGCTTCAGGATTTACACACCAGCTCAATGATCAGAACACAGCAACACATACAGTGGTGAGCAGATTATTCCCCACCTGTAACCACCGGGTGTTTGCACCTTCCTGTGAAGCCCTTAGGGTTGTGATGTGACAGAGACACGACCCCTAGCAAAGCTTCAACTATCTTCCAGAGGAGCGTCTACGTTGCCTTTATGCTGTTAAGCCAATTTCACTGACAGTCGCATCTTGCAGTGAGCAGGAGTCCCGGTCCTCTCTGTCCACCCCCTTGCTCACAGCAGCGCAGAGGCTGCTGCTGCTGAGACCCGTTCTGAGAGACTGCACTGAGGGAGAGGCTGTCGACCGGGACTAGCAGCAGGCAGCACAAAACGCTGAGGAAGGCCGGCGAACACTAAGCGTTCACTCGTGAGGCAGGACCTGCGCTCGCTGGGGCACAGGGACCTCCCCAGAAGTCTCATACGACCGAGACGTCTTTGCTCCAGAGCCAGGACTCAGCCAAAAGCAACCGCCTGGTTAGCCCAGTTCCTGGGCCTGGCTCACTCCCGCATGGACAGACAGGGGACACGGCACAGAACTTCCCAGAGGGACATTCCCTCTTCCAGATATAGAACTGAAACGGGGCCCCAGGAAGAAACAAACAGTACCAGAAAGAGCAGCAGCCCCCTCCCCCCCTCGTAGTTTACTCCAGCGTCTGAGGTCAGCACAACAGGAAAGGAGCTCTGGGAACCCCCAGCTGCTTCCTGACACGTCCAGCCAAGCTCACTCTCTGCCGTTAAACTAACGGCATCTACTTCCTGCCCCTCGGAGGGCCCAGACACCTTCACAGGGCAGTACAGAACGGCCGGGCTACACGTCACTGCCGCCCTGCACAACTCCCAGAGGAGACCATGAGCAACCCTGTGCAAGAACAAAGTGAAAAGCACTTGTGCAAAAAAGTAACAAGTGTGACAAGATAATGTCTGTGTGCAAAGTGGGATACGAGAAAGAGAGAAGTTTCTCCACAGCAAAAGGAGGGCAGCAGGTTGTACCTGTGGGGGGGGATGCAGGGAACAGAAACCACAGGCGCTGCAGCTCGTTTCTCTGCCAGGATCTTCCGCGCCTTCTTCATTTTGATTCTAGACTTGGCCTTTGCTTTTTTCACTTTCTCAGAGCTCCAGCCCTTACCCTCCTCCTCTTCCTCCTCATCTTCTTCTTCCCCTTCACTGTGGGAGAGGGCAGGCAGCCTGCGCACAGAGCCCGGTGGCGTATGGATGTCACAGTAGGCAGTTTTGCGCACGCTGAAGGAGGTACCGTTTGCTCCTGTCTCGCGGACAGGCTCCATTTTCATATACAGTCCAGCCTGCTGGGCACAGGTGACGTGGAAAGCGGTATAGCAGTTTGCCTTATGACACTGGATGCAAGCCCCAGAGCCACGCTGCTTGCAAATATAGCAGGTCAGCTTCCACCGTGCAGGTGGGATGTGCTCGATGCTGTCTATGGGCTCCAGAAACACCGTGTTGGCAAAGCACACCTCTGGGATCCAGAGAGCACAAACCACGTGCGCCCAGCGCCCATCGTCCGTCTGTTTGAAAGCCCCACCCTTGTTTGGGCACAGGGCACAGTCCACTGCTCGGGAGGGTGACTGCAGGCACCGTCTGCAGAGCCACTGTCCCTCTGGGATGTAGGGCACCCCATAGCACTCCTGATGAACAGCCAGGTTGCACATATCACAAAAGAGGATGACATTGCTGTTTTGACACTCTCCATCATTGCAGATGCAACACACTGCATCCTCATCGACCAAGGCGTTTGGATCCCCCTTGTTGTGGCTCTCAAAGTAGGACTCCTTCTCCAGCCTGTCCATCAGGTACTCAAAGATCTCTTGGGGAATCGGACTCACGCCTTCAGTCTTCCGACGCTCGTTCATAATGTCCAGCCAGATGTAGTCTTCCTCATCCATGTCATATTCTACCTCCTCATCCAGCTCCTCTGCTGACTTCTCAATGTACCTGGAAGGACAGCAGAAGAAGGTGAGTACATGACTGGTGCAGGCTCAGTGCTGCTGGACCCTAACTTCTGCAGGCCTTCACTGAGGAGATATTTAAATGTTAAAGCCACCATAAGTCAAAAAAAAAGAAAAAAAAAAAGATGGGAAGGCAGGAATCTGCAGAAACAGGAGGTGCTGCTGCACGTTGAGCAGACTAGCAGCACGAGAGTGCATTTGGCACAACACAGCAAGGCGTTCAGACCAAATAACATTCGTCTAATGGGCAAGTTACAGACCGTGGAGACTCATCAATGCAAGATGGGAGATTGTGTGAGCCTCCAGGCAGGTAGCAGATGCTCTGGAGACAGTGACCTCATTTCTAAGGTACAGCAGTGCCGGTCCTGCTGGCAAACAAGGCGGCATGGAAGGCACAATGTTTCATTAACTGTGGCAGTGAGGGCTGCACCCTCCCCTTTTACTCTCAGTTGTGGGTGAGGTGACGTTATTTGTAGAGGAAAGAGTTTGAACCCCTAGTTTCCTGTTCTGGCAACTAATGGCAACCACCACCCACCATCACATCAAATGACACTACAGACATGTTAGGGGGGCTTTCTTTTATAACAGCCTTAAACAAAATAACATTGATATTCTGTCCCTGGAAGTTGATGCCAACTTCTTAGGCAACATGGCGACAAAGACAGCAGAGATGGGCGCGTAAGCATTAGCTCGCTGTTCCGCATTAATCTTCCTTTGCGTTAATGATTGTTTTGGGCCACTTAACTTACCAAACCACTTTTGGAAAAAACATAAGACAATGAAGATAGAGTAGCTTGCAAATATACACATCCCATAGCTACATCTTGGTGCTGCGGGACTCCAGAGCTATCCCAAAATATCTCTGAAGAAGAGCATGGAAGGCAGAAGGACACGCTCATTTTTTCTTAGACTTCTACCTGCTGTACCAGCAAAGAAAGAACGCAGCAATCAAATTGCTGGCAATGACATAGGAAGCAATCAAAACTCTGCAGGAGTAGAGACCCCTCAAAAGCAGAGAGGAACACTACAGTGCCAAGAGGCTGAAGCCACAAGACGGCCAGCTCCATGGGACCTAGGAGAGGCACACGGAGGGCATTTACACAAGCCTTGTACAAACCAGCTGCAGAGAGAGGGAGCGATTCTGCCTCAGGACCCAGGGGGCTAGCTAGAATCACCCAGGAGTCTCCTCACACCCTGGCCATCGACAGTACCTGTAGTAAGAGGTGGGGCGAGGTGGGGCATCAGGGGTGTCCTGCTCCAGCTCCCGGTACACCACCTCGGGGAGCTTGGGGGTGGTGCCAGCCGAGGCGTTATGGTGATGGTGGTTAGAGTCCTTGCGCTTCTCCTTGTTCTTGTGCTTCCCAGATTTGGGGGTGACGGTCTGGGTCTCCGTGTTCTCCTTGTTGCTCCCGTTCTCGGGCACCTCCTCCGGGGCCTCCTCGTCCTCGGACACCACGTCCAGGTTGTCGAAAATGCTGATGCGGTGCACGCGCCCGTGCAGGTCCACCTCCACCATGCGCTGGGCCTGGGCGTAAGTCATCACTTCACGGCCCGGCGACTGCGAGGTCTCAGAGGGGCTGGGCGACTGCTTGTTGGCGGCCCGGGCCTGGCGGCCCTTCTTCTTGTGCTTGCGGAGCGGGGTGTGCTGGGGCGGCGGGGGGTTGTCGTGGTCATAGTGGTAGAGGTGGTACTCGATGCCGCTGTAGCTCTTGTAGATCTTGCGGCAGGTGCCCACGGGGCACTCGTAGGGCGGCTTGGTGGCCCGCAGGTTGTGGCAGAAGGTCTTCACATCGAAGTCCACCCCCATGGC